AAATTTAAATTCTTTGCGTTGATGGTGGATTTTTCCTCTGCGTGGGAAAATTGTTTTTTTTTCTGGTGGAGAAAGTAATTAAATAAAAAGTTGGCGTTTGTTACTAAATGAAACTTAGGTAAACTTGGTTATAGCCAGTGGATATAACGCTAACAAACTTTTCTATTTAGAGACTCATCGCGTGCAAATAAATTTGTTATCGAAGTTTGCTGCTGGGCGCCGAACGCGGCGTGTCTTTGCAATATTCGACGAATTATAAACGACACAGGCGCTGCTTTCATCTCAAAATGTTTTCGTTGGGAAAATTAAGTGAAAATTTTATATGTAATAATGTCCGGTAACGAGAATTGCAAAAAAATTGGAAGAGTTTTTGAGTTGGAATTTTAATTGCTTTTAACTCAGTCAATTATTGATTAAAATTATTGAAATAAAAACTAATTTACTTAGAAATTATTGTTTTATAATAATTTAGATTATCCCATATCGATTTATTATTATTACTGGTTGAAATCCATAAAAAACAAAAAAAAAACATTTTTGTTCGAAAAAGTTATATTTTTTGTTATTATATTAAAACTAAATTAAAATTCAATAAAATTTAAAAGCACAATAATGTAAAAATAAATTTAACGTCGATTACAGTTTATTTTATAAAAATTGGTTAAAAATTACGGAAGTTATATCAATAAAACCAAACATAACTGAAATGCCTGAAGCTATGATCTTAAATTGTTTATAACTCGGTCAATTACTGATAAAAATTAATGCAATAAAAACTAGTTTACTTAGAAATTATTGTTTTATAATAATTTAGAATATCCCATAACGATTTATTCGTATTATTTGTTAAAATCGGTATAAAACAAAAAAATATCATTTTTCTTCAAAAAAGTTACATTTTTTAATATTTTATTAAAACTAAATTAAAATTCAATAAAATTTAAAAGCACAATAATGTAAAAATAAATTTAACGTCGATTACAGTTTATTTCATAAAAATCGGTTAAAAATTACGGAAGTTATAACAAAAAAACCAAACATAACTGAAAAGCCTGAAGCCAACTCTTTGTTATTAAAATTTTAATTGCGCATATCTTCATCAATTATTAACCAAAATAAACAAAACAAAAACCAAACTATTCACAAATAATCATTTTATTATTATATATATTACCCCATAAAAAATTTCCACTGTACACATTTTTATTAACTAAAATGTAAATAAAATAAAAATCTTCAACTTTTCCACCCACATACACACAAAAATATTTTCCCCAAGTCTAGTAGCTCGTATGATCCCAACTCTAGCAAATCTTCATCCCACATTCGCAGAACAGCAAAAGGATGATGGAGAACGTTGTGCGTAGTTTTCGCCGGAAATGCGACGCGTTTGGTGGAGGCGCCGCGCAAAAAAACGAGGAACGCAATGTTTGTGTTTGCGCCGCAACGCAGGATTCGAGTCCCCAGCAATAAATTCGGTTATCGGGTGGTGAATTTTCGCCCGGCGACGACGCCGACGACGACGCGACGCGACATAATAAAGATGAATTTCAAAATTTATAACCTGCCCCTCTATAAATCAATTCCATGTTTAAACATCGTTATTCACCGCCGCACCGCCAACGCCACCTTTTGGTTCACGGTGAATTCAAGCGAAGCGTTCAACGAGTAAATACTCCGCTTTGCTTTTATTTGTGATTTTCGATTTTCGATACTCCCGAGAGTAAGAAAAGTAAAAAGTGAAACTCTTTTAAACTCTGATGGCGGCGCAAAGGGGCGGCGGAGAATTCTCTCTTGAACTATGTAGCAACTTGAACAACTCGCAAGAAATATGGGACTAATAATTTCCTGTCGCCGGCCCCATTTCGCTTTTTAACACATTATAACTTTTAATAACTATTTTATGTTTCTTTCGTAATAAAAGAATTTTTTTCTGGTCAAGACAAAAAAGTATATAAAATTTCCGGTTTTCCGGTTTTGTTTTAAAATAAAATCTCAATCAAATATGAAGAATAAAAGCCATTTCCGGTTTTCCGGTTTTCTGCTTTTTTGCTCGGTGATGATGTGTAGTTGTCCGCGGTGCTTCGTATCGAAAAATACAGAAGAAGGATTCATGGCGAGCATTTTGCTCGTGTCGCGAAGCTTGTCGGACACTATTTATGATTGTGCGCCCGCGGGGGCGGCGCGCACGTGTGCGCTGGTCGCGCGTGTTTGTTCTCCCCCGGAGGTGTTTCGACGTTACGTCGCCGGCGCGAGCAGATGCAAGGATTGAATACCAATGCAAGTCTCACAGGTCGTTTATTTCATCCTTGTGAGCTTTTCCGCCACCGTGTCGACTCGCACTTTTTTATTTCACCGCCGCCACCGTCTAACAGAGTCAACTTATTCTTGAGTTTTCTCTGAAGCGTATATATATTTTATTTATGCCGAAAACAAATCTGTTTGAAGTTATTTCCAAGTAATTTGTTTGAAATTGTGTTTTCCGCAGTTGATGTCCTTAAACATGCTTACATAATCCGGGATTTGTTGATGATACAAGCACACTGTGCACGGCGTATCTGACAAATAATTATTGAGTTTCATTCGGGAGCGTAGAAAAAAAAGCCAGACGCAAGCGAAAACGACGCGCCACGCCTCAACCGGTGATTGGAAAAAGGCGCAGTGATCAAAAGGAAACATTTATACAGCCGATCGGTTTCTGGGCATTGAACGCGAGATTACTTCCCTCCCATTGGAATGTAAATAATTACATAATCTGGCTGGTTTAAAGAAAACCGGAAAACCGGAAATCGACGCAAAAATTCTTGTTTTTTACTTTAAATATATTTCTCTATTTATTTTTCTGATTGTTGTGAACTATACGCTAGTTTTGGTCGTTTTTCCGGTTTACTTTGCATGCCCAAGTAAATATTTATGCAATCGTTGGTGGCAGCGCGTTTAGAGGCTTTTGTAAAGAAGTGAGGGGCTCAACAGGTTCTGATTGCATTAAAATCAGACTTCCGGTTGAGTGATCGCGATCAGAGCGGGCGCAACGAGTCGGAGGAAATTTTGCAATTAGAATGCGGCGCGACTAGTTCGATCTCCGCGCGTACGAAACCGCCTCTCGGCCGCGCGGAATGTCAATACCCCAACGATTCGGCGGTGCGCTCGCTCGTGATCAATTAGGCTCTCGCCGAGGGCTCCTGCGAAACGCTTTGTGCTCACGCCCGTCAAATGGATTTGCCACTCATACCTTCAGCATCACGTTAAGAAGAAAAACGAACAGCAGAAAAAAGCGCCTGAATGATATTCATATGAAGTTTCAGCGCCAGAGCAGTTTTTAAGGGTTGCGAAAATATGTGACATGCATGATACACTACCGGAAGTTAAAAAAAAAGCAAAGTGATATGTGTGAAATTGTCCGTAACGAGCTGCTATCTATCTTCAGATGGAGTCGAAATGTCAACGCGGATTGACAATCACATTTTCAGGGGAGTGAATTTGAGTTTTCGGGAAATTCATGTGCGGCGGTGGGAAAATCGAAAAAAGTGATGTGCATGTTGGATCTGCTGACTTTATAACCTCTATAATTGAGGGAGTTTTCTGCAAGTCAACAATTTTACATTCTAAAAACTTCTCAACCTGCCGTAGTATATATTTTATCAATAAAGAAAAAAATTCTTTATAAATATACGTTTAGTTTATTAAAATCGGTTAAAAACTGTCAAAGTTATAAAGAAAAAACAAATTATTACTGAGCGTAACTTAGCATACTCAGAGTAACTGACTCAGTGCGTCGCGCACGCTCAGTCCAGTGCCTTTCACTTACTTAAACTTCAATTGCTTGTAACTCTGGCAGTTTTCAAGCGAAATGGTTGGAACAAAGACTAAAATTATTAAATAATCGCACGCTTTATGAATTGTTGAATTATTTTTGTTAATGTCAAATTTTCAAACAGGTTTTATTTGCTTTACAAACGTAATAACCCGAAAACCGAAAATATGAGTTTATGATGTCGATGTAAGCCCGGTGAGTGTTTGTGAACGCTGTAAAGAAATATTATTCAAACGCGCTTGTTTCGTGTTTATTTACGCTCTGCGCAGCGACAAATTTTTTGCCGTCCGTAAATTGCACGTCAGTCTCATCATAATTGTTATTATTATTTTTGCATTCACGTCGCAAATTCAGTGTGTACACCAAACCATACAGAACCGTATTTTATAAAATTTACTACATAAAAGAAATCAATCAAGAAAAACTGTTTTGATTTGGAGGAAAAAAACTTAAATATTTAAAATTTTTGGAAAATTTATTTAAGACGGTCCTGTATGATAGTTTGCAGACGTATGTCGCGAACACCAAAATAATGTGCAGTCATTACATAAATAAATTCGCGTGCGCGTTAGTAATGGCGCGCGGCGCGTTCGTTTCGGTAATTTATTGATGTAAATTGAATCGGATTAAAAGTGTCCATCCACCAAAAACGCGTTTGCCACCATTCGAACATGTCGCGTGCGCAAAAATACGATTTTAATTACGCCAATCAAAATATTGCCATGGCGGAATGCAATTGACGCATTGTTGTTAATTAAAACTTGTTAAAACATTTTCCTCTCACTAAAACATCAAAGCACAAAAAATCAACCAAGTTTACCACAAATTATATTTTAATAATTCACCCTTAGAATGCTTTAAATAAAATTTTAAGTTTTTTACCGTAAGAAACACGTTGGCGTTGCGGTTTGATACACGTACGTATTGTCAGAGCGATGTAGGCTGCCACACATGCACAGCAGGCTTGCGGGGTTGTAGCGGGGGTTGTGTGTGCGGCGCAGCGGCGCAGAACGCCCGCGTCCGCGAATCCTGCCTGCCGCCAAGGGTGGGAGGCTCGGCCCGCGCTGCCGTCGGCCGGCGCACAGTACTCGATTTGCCTTTCGCAACCGACTTTCGCAGCGACGCCAACCAGCAACCCCCGTTGTCGCGCGCGTGTCCTGCGTCTCCTGCCGGTTCGTGTTTTTGCCTGCTCCTGGCCTGCAACGTGTGTGCACTAATAAATTTCATCACGCATCACGCATCAAAATAACGTGTCGGTGAATATTCATTACGAGTAAACCCAAAAAAAGAACAAAAATATTTTAAAAGCAGGAAAATAGGAAATAATATTTAAAAAATGAGTTTATTTTAATGTGACTGAAGTAATTAACGCAAGTGCACTGCATTAAACTAATTAACATTTGGTGTTTTGAAATAACCTCACGCAGCGAGTGGAAAACATAACTTTTGTGCGGTTATGTGGATTATGCAATTATGAGCTGTGATTGGTCTGGCCATGTGCGACGAAAGGATAATTTGGATTAAATTATTTGCTATGAAAGGTAAACACATTTCCGGTTTTCCGCTTTGCCACTTATCAAATATAACATCATTAAAATAACAAACAACCACTACAGACATTAAAATTTAACGAATACACTTGAAATAAACATAACTTCCGGTTTTCCGGTTTGTGTTTTTTATGCGTCTTTATGTTTTATGCACTGAATAGCACGTATCTACTTTAATATATATTATATTTGTGTGCTGGTTGTGGATTTATGCCGACCGACGGGTTATGGCGTCGTCAAGACTCGAGGGCCTTGAGAAAATTTGAGTTATTCATACCACCGCGGCAATATGGGCTATAATACGCGGCTATTATGGTCGGGCGTATTTCGCGTGCCCGTTTTCCCCGTGGTATTAATTATTCGTGCGCGACGTCGGTTATTATCTACGATTCGGCAATACGGCGGCCGCAGTACCCGAATCAAACCGAAAAGCGGCTGCCGAGGCGCTGTAACTTCGTCGTGGCCACCACCCCCTCAGAGCTCGTGAATTTAACAAGATTCACTTACAGGGAATTACACTGACATAGAAAAATCGGTAAATTTATTGATTCAACATCCGGCACCCTTAAATTTTCATCCCCAGGCATAATTTACCTATGCTTATTACTTATGCTTGCTTTTCGGGAGTATTTCTAAGGATGGCGCAGGAGGAAAACCTCGTTTTGAAATTATTAATTTAAAATTTAAAAGTGCGTTTCTTTGGGGCGAAGAGAGGAAAAGTCGTAACTTCCGCGCCTGATGAAAACTTTCGCACCGAAATCATTCGAAATTAAACCTGGATGAATTTCAGCCAGTTACAACTTGTTCACCTGCGAGTAATCTCAAAGCAAAACATTTTAATTTATTTCGCAGTTAAATCACCTACATGTATATTATAATTTATTATTTTTTTTTGTGAAAATCTAAACTTTACTAAAAATGTGTTTCGAATAGTTAAAGTTGTGAATATATAATCGAAATGAAAAGTGACCCTGCGGTATGATTCATAATTGTGGAGGCGCCTGGCACACGGCTTGCGGTGGGTTGAAGCGCACGTAATTAAACTACCTGGTGTAATCCTTATCCCGGCGCCTTCACCTTCATATATTATGAGACATGTTGAAAATACAAAATTTAAAATTTAAATTTAAATTCAATTTGTGAAATATGGCAAGGGCCTGCGTTTCGTTTCTGATGGCTTTTCATATCACTTAATACAGATTGATGTACTAAATTCCAAATCTATGCAACCCGTGGGCATTACTCGAAGCAGGAAATTGAGCCGTTTCCATTAACGTTTACTGGCGCTCGGACTCTAGCGACGTCAATTTCAAATTACTACATGTGCTGATTAACAGGTTTTTCACTGGTTGGTCGATTTGAGTAAAATTTAAAAAATATAGAAATAAATTTCATCGCTGGTTCCAATAAATAGAGTTTCAACTAATTTTATGATTGAGTCGATATAAACTGCGCAGGTTGTTAAAAATGTTCTACGTATACCTATAAATGAAAGATGCAAAATCAATACGTGGAAACGTCTAAACATTTTGGTTGCTTGGTTATTCAGTAAAATAATTGTTGTATTGCAATTTAGAGTAGAGATAAAATAGAAAATAATTTAAAAAAATTAAAAATAACAAAATTTACAGAAAAAATTAAAAAAGTTTTAAATAAATTTAGTTATTAATAAATATATGGGTCCGGAAATGCTAAGAATAAATAAAAAGTTACATTATAATGTTCATTATTATCTTGTTGAATAATTAATTGGATTTTCATTTTATAATCCTTTTTATAAACATCAAAAAGAATAATTTCCTTTCAAATAAAAAGAGAATATAATTGCAAAGTATAAAAATATGCGCTGCTTTAGAAAATTTATTATGCAAACCCATAAAAATCATCAAACGAATGTGCAAAAATCAAAATAAATGAACTTTCGTTCACAACAGCAGCATTTCATTAACCTCGTATCTTTTACGCAGTGGATGCTGCGATTCTGGTTAACAAGATCTCTCAAAAGTTTCGCGCAACTTTTTGAGAGCTGTGTTTTGCAGGTGTCTTGAATGTTTACCCATTTGCGTAAATACTTAACAATTTCGTCGAGTTGAAAAAGTTGTTTGCATAGCCGTTACGATAACAGTAGCGACGCGCGTCGAAGAAGAGCACAGGACTTTTCTCAAGGATATTTTTTTTCTCTTTTATCTCGAGCGAAAACAAAACGAATCTCCTGAAAGTAAAAAAAAGTGGCAGAAGAAGAGTTTGTTGGAAAGAAGCAAGCAAGAGTGGAGATGAGATGGTGGCGATATGTAACCGAGTAACCATGCTTCGGCACCTTATTCGCCAGCTTATCGATTGCCACTTTACGGTGTTCTGGCGGTGAGCGCACGAAAAGGATTCACCATTCCTTTCCATCCTCCGTGGGATGAGTCTCGGCTTCGTGAGGTCACCTCATCGTGCATGTTGTGCTTGCAAATGCCCGGCTGTCGAAGCGAATAATGCGAGATGAATTCTTTTATTGCGCACCGCGCGCAGAAAACCCAACCATTTATATCCTGTCCGCATCAATTTCAAAAAATTAATCTTCCTTCTTGGGAAAAATTACTCGAGCGGGGTTTTTATGCGTGCCAGATGGATGCAGATGGACGAAAATTAAAATTTCGTTTAAATACAATTAGGATAATTTTTAAGTTTTCGCCAAAGTTGGTTTGTTCAGGCTTTTTAATGCATTTTTAAACGAGTCAATTTATTACGAATTCCATAAAGCGACTGAAAGTTTGCAAAAAGTTTGACGGCGGGTGTGTTTTGATATGAAATTTTAATCACACTCAAGCGACTAACAAAGAAAATCGATCAAGGCAAAACTTTGCACTATGAGTAGTAATGTAATGTTTTCAGCAGGTGCGAAAATGAAAAATTTATTAAATTTTGCAAAAAATTAAATAAATCATTATTAAATAGTTTTAGAAAAATAAATTATTAAAAACTAGCAATACAATATGTTATCAAGAGCTGACAAAAAAGATTTTCTTAAAAAAAATTTTTTTTTTCAAATTTTTTGCAAAATTTTTGCAAAAAAACAAATTTTTTCCAATTTTCTGTTAAATTTTTTTCTCCTGCTCATTTTACCACATAGTTGCAGAAAAAAAATCCAGCCAACATTCGTTTCACCTGCCTTCATCCCGACGTTAGCTAATTTGTTTCAGTTTCGCGCCCGCCTTTTTTTGTATGTTTTCCGCGTCCGCCATTATTTTTCCAGCCGGCGCCTTCGCTCTTTGCAGTACGTTTCGCATATTGACGTCTCCGGGCGCCCGAGGGTTATTTTAAACTACGGAATTTCTCAAGAGACTTTCGTCGAGGCTGAGCCGTGCGCCGCCTCCTTGACCGGGCTGCCGGAAACGAAGCAACCTCTACTTCAGCCCGGCGCAAATTTGATTCATGGCTACCTTTTCCCGGTGTGCATTTTGTCTTGTGCATGATTTATTAAATAATTGATCACGCAGACTGCAAAATGTACATTTTATACAATTCATGCAAATTTTGGTGGAGGCGCCCACAAATTTTCACCCTATATGACCTGTAATTGTCTATTGTAATAACAAATTGCGGTGAATTAATTGCTGAGTCGCTTTGTGCTGCATGTGCTTCAAGGAGCGCGAAATTTTCAGCAATATCACGCCATTACTATTGCCATCACCATCGCCATCAGTTTACCGGCCGAGTTATTTACGCCGACTTGTTATTACGGCTCCAAGTGTGCGTATGTGTATATTCATGTGCAAAGTTAACTATCACCCCGGGCGTAATGCGTTTAATTAAGGAGCTAAATACCAACATTAATTAGCGGCTATTACGCGTGCGCGCCAGGATGCCAAGCATAACTTTCAAAACAATATAGGTTTACGCATGCCTATTAGTTGTATAGAAAATTTCACCTGTTAGACCTGGAAATTTTTGTAGAAATATTGCGATGGTGAAGGCGCCGGGCAAATGCAATTTTTCTGTAATATTACAGTACTGCTGGACCTAGATTGTGTCGGCTGTCATTTTCATATATCCCTAAGGATGATATTTTACTGTTGGCTTCTGCTACCATCCCTTCACTGCTCATCAACAACCCCTAACAACAAAAACAATGCGCAGTCTGCACACTCGGCGCGGTTAATTTCTTCGCGCTGGCGCGAAATTACCCCGCACCGCGCGCAGTATGTTGGTGTTCAAAATTCGTATTTTCTGCATTTCTTCAATGGGTGTAAAATACCAAAACGCAAAGTCGTAAACATGTTTCATGCGCTAATGTGCGCGCATTAAGTAAGTGGTAACGAGGCCGCAATTAACATGAATTAAATTAGCGTGTAAAACACGCGAAACAATGTAAGCCCAACATGTGTAGTAGTTAAATAGAATACTAACCATTTTTTTCTTGCGCATGCGCGTCAAAAACATTTTAACATGTGAATGTGGAATAGTTAGTTGAAGACTTAAAAAGCATTCTCAAATGTAGATTAATAGAGTTCCATGCTTACATTTCCGGCATTCATTCGCATATTCATTTGCGAGTGCAGCGCGCTGAAAAGTTTCAGTGAGATTGCAGATTAAACCACAACACACACGCGTCGAGCATACGCCACACATTTGTGTACATTTGCAGCACGTTTCCCAGCGCTTGTAATGAGCTCACGAGCGAACTATTGAGCGCGTCGAGTACATCTTTGTCCGCGCCGAGACAAAACAAACATCGAACACCATCCAGCTGGAATTCCATTTTATTCCCGGCTCCTCCACACCGAATACTCTTCAACTATAAAAACTTAATTTAACGACTTCGTGATGCCGAAATATTCACCATCAATATAAATTTTATGTTTCGTGTTATCAAGATGCATTATTGTGCGGTGTGTGTTTATTTCGCATTCGCAATTGATTTTATGCTTGCTCGCGAACTTACCACAACCCAATGAACATCAAGCATTGAAAGCGTCGAGTGCAAAGCAAGGCTCATTCAAGCGCACGACACAGGCGCCGAAACAAAGCAGAGATGTCGATCGTGCATTCGTGCTCGTTTCCGGCTATTTGCTTGGTAAATGGAGTATATACCATCAAATCGAAGCATGAGTGTCGTGCACCTCGCTAATACAATTTGTGTACACTTAGACTCGCAACATTTTTGACGCGCATGCGCGAGAAAATTATTATTTAGTATTTTCGCACGAAGCAGGCACTTAATAAAACGTAATGCTACGTCATAAATTTCAGGCGAAGTGAAGCGTTGCACTTTTGGTGCATACAAATTATGCCATCGCGGAATTAAATTCATGGCGTGAACTGAAGCCCCGGTGGTTGGTTGCACGCAAGGCGAATTGCTAATTGGAGGAAACAAACTCGTTTGCAACACACGCTCATTTCGTGCCATGCAAAGCATTTTCCCTGATTAATAATAAATAAAATACAAAATAATGTTTTTTAACCACGTATAATTTTTTCCGCACATAACCTAACTTATGTACCTACCTAAAGTGTTTGTGTACTGGTTCTTGTATTACACGTGTATGAAAACTTTGAAATCGGACGTGGCAGTGCATAAAAGAAATTCTTTTCATGATTTCCATCAAGTGTATAAAACGAAAAAGTGTACAGCTTGCGTGCAGCGCTACGTTTTGTAGCCGTGAATGCGTACCTGCAATTGCAAAATGTAGCTGGGTTTTTTTGCGGTGCATTCAGACGTCGACAATGCTTCGCTTTGTGTATTTCAACACAGAGCATTGCCAATGTGCATTTTGTTGGCAAGTCTATCAGAGTGGAAATCGCGCTGTAGTTTTCATTATGACTCAATTAGTTTTAAATCATGCACGAATACAACGTGGAAAATTAAAAATCACCGCCGCCGATTTTTTGTTAACTTTTATTTTTTAGTTCAACCAGATGTAGGGGTTGTAACCGCGTGGGCTAGGGTTAATTTAAAGTTTTGTTAATATCGCATTTGTCTTTTGAGCGTGCCGTGAGTGGCGAAATGTTCTTCAACTGTGCGCCGTTTGCCTCATGTAGATATTGAAGTCGTGTGTGCCCGGCGCCTCCACACTGTGTGGAAACGCAGACGAAAACGCAAACCCAGCGCTCGCGCGCTCTCTAAGTGGAAGATAAATACCGAAACGCTAAGATTCGTAGAGTCGCACTACGTGCTTTTACTTCGTTATTGAGTTTTGTTTTTCTGCAATGGAAGAAGGACGCGCTCGGGCCGTACTCGACTTCGTGCGACGAGCTTTTCTTGAAATTATTACTCCTGTGACGAAGACACACGGAAAACTTGTTTTGACTGACTGCATGCATAATTTAATTAAAATTAAAATTAAATTCACTTCATAATCGATTCGAATACTCTACTTTATCCACTCAAATATGTATTATAAATTTTTTTGAGTGATATTGAGTTCGGAATACAATTAAAGTCTCAGATTGCGTGACTCGAAGTCATTTTGTTTTGGTTTTTGTTTCTGCCGACGCGTTTCTCTGTGTGTATACAAATTGCATTATAATTTTAATTAAATTCCCGCCTTGCTCCCCGCACGAAAAGTTAATTTGTCCGGCGTTTAAAACGCTTTAAAGCAATCCAAACAACAAAGGACCCTTGAATTTACGTGTAACTTAATGCAACATCTTAAATAACATGCGAAAAGTCTAAAAATAACAAGTACTACTTTAAATCACATAAATTTTAGCGTTTTTCTGCGTCAAAAGACGAAAAAATTGTTTATGAACGTGCACTAAACATGACGTAAACCATGAAGCGTGAGAGCTTCATCACGGTGCAAAGCTCTTTCGCCCCATGTCCCGAAAAAATGTCCGCCATTGTGTTACGTTAGTCCTTTTGCATCTCGTCCGCTGATAAACATAAACAACAGCTGTAACCGGCATGTAACAATACGCATTGTCCTGTAGGACCTACAACTGCCGTCGTCGTCGTCACTTTTTATTGTTGAGCTGTAAAATTTCCCACACCCACACTCCCCAAGCGTGGTTTATACACAAACGCTGCGTGTTTTTTTAACTTTTATTCTAGACAAGATAATGCATTGTCATTTCGTAATCCCTTTGAAATTGTGAATTTGAGCATTTTTAACATTTTCGTTTATATTATTGCGTTTAACGATGATTTAATTAATCATGGCAATTAATTTCAAAGTTTGCGAAGCTTTTTGAGCTTTTTATGTGCGTAATGTGACACGGTTATAAATGACCGCATGGAAATGACATTCGCAATGGTGGAGGCGCCGCGCTGCCTCGAGCTTTCTGGAGACTAATGTATTATTCCGTTTTGCAGCTGGGTACCGCAAATAGAGAGCGTGGCCACGATGTACGCGAGCGAATCTACGCGTCTCCTGCTGCACCTCGCATTAACCTGCATATCTTTGCTGCCAGTCACTATTGGAACTTCCGGTGAGTACTAACGTTACAATAATTATATCCCAAGAAGAAAATGGAACAATATTTATGAGTTTTAATTTTGGTTTGTTTTTCTGCTGTGTAATGCGTTTTAAATTGGTCAAAATGTGAAAAAACAAAATTTTAGCAAATTTTTTTTCAAAAATATGAGAAAAATATTAAAAATTGTTCAAAACATTACAAAACTAAGCTTATTTAAATTTTAAGAACTACATTATCATAAATTGCAAAAACTTTTAGTATAATATCATTTTTTATAATTTTATTTGCAAAAAAACTTAAAATTTTGCAAAAATTTTTTCAAAAAATTAAAAAATATGTTTAAATTTGATTAAAAAATGTTGTAAAACAGAATTTATTTATATGAGTTATACCGGAAAAACTAGTTTATTATAAGTTGTAAAAATTCTCTGTCAAAAAATCGCTTTTTTTATTCCATCCCCGAAAAAAGCTCGTTAGTTGCAGAGGCGGTACATCCTCGTGCGTTTTATACTCCTCTTCAACTTTTCGGCGCGCGCTCGAAATAAGACGTTCTGTCTTTTAATGTTAATTAAGTCCCACGGCGTTTTACTGCTCGGCGACAACCTGGGGTGTAATTTCGAGGCCCAGAGCAAGTGAAGGTTCTTCTCTCCCCAATGAGGCACAATGAAATTGTAAATTCGTTAAGAGCCTGCGCCGAACAAGCTTTTGTTTTTGGCGCGCGGCAACTGCGACCAGCGGCACGTAACGAAAAGCAACAAAACGAAACCGGAAACGTGACGCAAGGAAAGACGATCATCAAAATTTGCGGCGCTCGAGAAGAGCTATTTTTGAGATTTTCGGCGGTCGTATTGTTGCGGTTTACAATATAAGCCACTACAAATGCACGCCGGCGCTACGCAATTAACAGGATGTTGTAAACCACCCCCGCGTGTACGGGGTACACGTGCGCCCAGCTCGCACAAACACGATATGTATACGCCGCGCGGAAGTGGCGCCGGAACAAAAGCGTACCAGTGCCATTGTGCCCGGCTCCTCCACCAGCGTCGCTTAGACTTCTAGTAGCTCAGGAAGCTGCTCAAACTCACAAGGACATGCTTATATTCTACAGGAAATCAAATTTGTTAAACATTTAACAAAAATCCGAAATATTTGCCAAAATTTCGGGTAATTTATTAGCTAATTATACAAAAACAAACGAAATAAATTTTAAATTTTTTTAAAGGTTTTTATGGGCGTTTCTTGGCAAAAAATCAATTGTTCAGTGTGTGTGTGGTTTTTTGACTTAACGCCAGCGACAATTTTAATTGTATTTAGAAAATATAATTTATTCCGCGCGATAAATTAGGAAGGACCATAAATTATTTTATAATGAAACGGATCAACGGAGTGATATATTCGGCGCGCATTATTTTAAGATTCCGGCGGGCGTACAGCTCCAGTTTCAGAGCTTCAGGGAGCTTTTTTCGCCTCCGCAGGCAGTCGAGCGGGTGCACAATTCCATTCACGACGACATCCTCTATTCCCCACTACACAATTGCTTGACGCTCATGGCCGACTGTTCTCATTGTCAACTCAGACGACTACATTAAATCTGCAAGCGTACCGAGATTCGCACAACCGTCTCATTTAATATTAACACCTAAAACATTATTTTTCTCAAAAATTATTGAGTGTATAAAGTATAGTATTTGATAATGAAGAGTATACTTGGCTGAAAGTCATTAAAACTTTACTGTGGTCATTATGACAGTTTTATCACTCTACCTGGATAATCTCGGTCGTTATGAAACATTGTGCACGCCAAAGTAATCAAAAATTGTTGTGATGAACACACGGCTTGCATGTTTATGAGTTCGGTGCAATATTATGACAAAGCAGTTGAAATTATGTCCCGATGTCATGACCCAAAGCAGTTAAATTTTATTGATAAGAAAATAAGTTTAATTGCTGTTTTTGTTATTTTTTATTATTAAACATTGTCGTCAGATTGTTAAGTGTAGAAGATTGTGATGTAAATGTATTTCGAAAAAGATATCGAGATAGAAAGGTTGCTCTCTGGCCTCGCGCGCTCATAACTCTCGGTAAGCCGCCCCCGCCGCTGCCACTTGAAGAAGGCGACGAGCGGGTTCTTCGTGAGCACCGCATCGACCGGCAATAAATTACTTACTATTTGAGATACATCAGATAAATCATTTCGGCACAGGCACGCAGAGCGGACGCAAAAAAGGACGAAAACTCGCTGCGCGCGCCAAAAATATGTGCGGAATTCCTTGCGCACGGGGTGAAGATGCCACATCCGGCGATAAGGAAACTTAAACAAAAAAAAAACAATGAATGGTTAGGTGCAAGATGGTTTTGTTATCAATTTCACATAAATTGTGTTCAAATTTTTGATTAATTTTCGTTTTAAAATGGTTATAAATAAAAAAATACTGTATAGATTTTTAGGAATTTAATATTTTTAGATTTATCATATTCCTAAATATTATACTAGCTATAAAATAATTAAAAAAAATTAAAAATAACAAAATCAAGGCAAAAAATTGAAATTTTTCAAAAAAAAGTTGTGATTTTGTATGTGTGTTACTCAATAATAATTAGATATGAATCACAAATGATAACAATTTTAATATCCTTAATTTATTACGAGAGTGCAATTAAAATTAGCTAGTTGTGCACTTTAATCTCATCCCTAATTGAATCAAAAACAACGACAACCGCATTCACCTCACGCGTGTAATGCGTGCAGTGCAAACGCATTAATAAATTATTATCGACGACGCACGCCGGCAAACAGGCAAACCGGAAGTGCGCAATCGATAATAATTTCCATTAGCATATAACGCACAGTAATCAGAGCTCGTTACTCGGCGCCCGGCTAATATTTGGCCAATCAATTGATATTGCAATTGCAATTCCAATTCAGATTTCAACCCCTTAGAATTCATTTTTTTAAATTAATAAATTTGATTCCGGGATTAAATTAATTGTCAATTAGAAACACGTGCTGCGGCGGTGTGTCCCCGCATCCTAAACAAACGCTGCGCGATGTGGAACACAAGCACAATTCAATTAATTGATTCGTAAATCTAATTTCTAATTAATACTCTAATAGATGCCAATCAAAGTCAATTTAATACGTACGCTACAAGCGAATTGTTCGACTATTTTGAGTGTTCGATCGTCGCCACTGCTCCGCCGCTAATCGAATATTTTAGGGTAGGCAGGGGGTATTGGTCCCGGCGCCTCCACTACCCTTTCAATTGTCACAAATCGCACGCGCGTGGCGTTTCGACTACATTTTCAATTAGCAAAACAATTTGCATTGAATACTCTTCAAAGTTTTTCAATAAAATTTTTGTTTTTAATTAAATCTTAGAAATAACTAGATGTGTCCTCATTCAGAATGTAATTAATGACAGTTATTTATAAGCTTGACAAAAGTAGTGAAATAATCTAATATATCAGCGAGTGTCTCACGCGAAAAAAATGCGCCGTTTGCCCGGCGAAGACGGATATTAAGGCTGAGCGCGCTCGCCGCTAATGCAAACCGTGATTTACAACGCGACTGAAAGCCATTCCTCGCTATTAAACCAGGACAATAGCAAAATTAATTCACCTACCTTCGGCTGCCGAGTATTGCGCTGCTCGCGAACAAGACGACGACGACGACGACGACTTGGACGAATCGTCGAGGCTAATTAGGGCCGCAATTTTCTACGCACAATGCCTGCAAGTAATGATCGCGTTATTAATTATTACACTTGGCAATGACTAAACACAATGTAGATTAGAACTTTATTAATTAAAAAAACTGTGTATTTTTCATTTCCTCATTTGCATTCCGCTTTTTTCCTCCGAAACTTTTGTAACTTTTCGCCTGAAAGAAATTAATTTGGGTAATAAATTCGGTTTTACTGTCAAAGACTCAATAATTCAGGATTGGTAAAAAAGGATTTTTATCTATCAGCCACAGTCAAAGCCCTAAAATCCGTAAAAATTTACTTTTTTTAAGAGAAGAGAATTTTTACTTAAATACTACTTAAACAGGATAGTAAAGCTTGTCCTTCTTACCAGTCGGGCGATTAGGCAGTCAAGCATCGAGAGTCGGCGTTGAATTTATCGTCCTGCGCTGTGATTTTCCACGCCATCCATCTTCCGCCGACCGAAAGCTATTTAGATTCTTTATGGTGCCCGGCGCCTTCACAAGCGCAAAATGTTCTTTAGCGGTTTTGCTACGCATTGCACCAAAAGGCACAAGTTTTAAGTAAGAAACAGTTTCTATTACTCTTAATGCTTGGTCTGATTTTATGCTAAGCTTTGAGGGTTTAATTGCGGGAATTTATAGCGTAAATTCAACAGAAATAAATAAAAAAGGAGAAAAAATCTTGTAAAACATGCAAAAGTGTCTAGTGGCTAGTATCAGCTTATTTATTGCCTGATATCTTTGATCTGCACAATGGCTGCAAACCGCATCGGCGGGTTTCGGATTTATTTCGGTTGGAATCATCGATTTCGGCACGTTTTTGACTTTTTTTCAATTTGTGAAAATTTTATTCTGAATAAATTATTGCTTCAATTATCAAGTTTTATCCTGAAATGGTTATAAATTTATTATTTAAATTCTCAGTTTGATTCACAAAAAAATTGGCTAGACATCAGCCTTAGAATTACACGGACTGCGGACAGATTAAGCTCACCAACTGAAAATTCACCAAAACTCTCAAAATCATGCTGTATCTTTTCTGTTTTTAATAAAATTATGTTCTAAAAAGTGTGAATTAATACCTCTAATGTAATTCTATTGTCTAATTGCAATTTGCAGTAAAACTCGCACATAAAAATCAAATAAATCACTGAGCTTTGCTCGAAACTGCATTCCGAGCATCCGAAGGAACAAACGACTTTAATATTGTTTGTAAACGATGATCGCGCCACTGCCGCCGCGAGCCGCGTACAAATGCCAAACAAGTCGATGGCGAACAACCCGCCCAACATCCCTTAGCATCCCC